ATGAAAGTACCAATTTATAATCCCGTCACTCATTCCCCCCCAACCCTCCCCCACCCCCTCCTCCTATTTCCCTACCTCTTCTCATGTCAACCGCCCTTACTTAACCTTGCGCCCCTCGTCTCACCCCGTACGCCCCTCGTCTCACCACCTACGCCCTCTTGTTTCACCCCATCCTTCTGGGGTTTGGAATGTTCCTGGTTGCCTTGAAACATGTCCGAATGTTACGGAAAGGGACCGGGTCAGACGCGGTCCCTATAAAAGCCCCAACGATGGTCTCCCATCGCGACATACACTCTGTGCTTGGATCAACACTGTAAGACTCTAATTCACCACTGACTCGAGTTATTTCGTACCGTATGCGACCATGACACAAACAATCATCCTCACGGTAAGCTCAGACCAATGTCGTACGGGATTTTAAACTAATCTCTTAGAATTTATATATATTACGCTTCTGGTGTGACTCGTGGACTGCGTCCATTTCCGACTGCTTCCTAACCAGCTGGCTGCTTCCTAGTCAGTGTATTTTGCATTGAGAGGATATTACAAATAATTCTATATGCTTGAAAGAAAGTATGGTTCAATAATGAGTTCAATAGCGCGTAAAATATAATTCCCGATAACTACGCTAAATTATATATTACTAGAATAAATGACCCGATATTATCGGGATAATAATGGTAGATCCTTTGCGATAATTTCTAACTGCTGTTGCAAAAACTCATCACAATTCATAACTTTAACAATGTAATGATATTTACGTTTCTAACAGTATTAAGTTTTGAGAAGTATTTCTCTGCTCTATATGATAGGCCTAGCCTACTCCCTTTCACGCTCCTGAACTACTTTTTCCCCCTCTAAATACATGCCCTTAAATTACACAGTCTAAATTTTCACTAATTATATCACTTTTGTCACTAAAGAAGTTCATTGAGGGACAATTACTGCGTTAGAGAAATACTTTTGATTTCACCCTTTTCGTGCCCTTGAATTACAACTTTTTTTCTCTAAAATTGTTTTAAAACTTACCTTAAATTTACACCAAAAACTCTATATATAATTTATAATATAAAAATATTTTATATTATAGGGATTCACTATATATTCATATCTTCAGTGTGCAGGGACGTAACATGGAGGAAGGGGTGTAGCAAAAATTGGGATTCTTAAATGTGCGATACTTGAGTTCATGTTTTGTCAAGTAACTTTAGTAGATGGGAAGTTCACGCATTGCTGTCGCCAATGTTTGGCCGGCTAGATCTAGTCATTAATTTTATTTTGTGCTGTTAACTAGCGTGGTGCTTTTTGTTGTTGTTGTTGTTGTTTTGTTGTTGTTGTTTTTTTTTGGGGTGGGTGGGGTTGTTAGGGATTTAGACTTAATTTGGGCTATTATTTGGGCTATCAAGGTCTATAGCGCAGCAGTCCTCCCGACACTGCTCTACGGATGTGAAACGTGGACAGTCTACCATGCAGCGTCACGCCAAGAAACTGAATCATTTTCACACTACCTGCCTCAGGAAAATCCTCGGCATCAGGTGGCAAGACAAAGTCCCCGACACCGGGGTTCTCGCTAGAGCAAACCTACCTAGTATCTTCACCACTCTTATGCAGTCTCAGCTCCGTTGGATGGGACACGTAGCCCCTATGGAAGACCACCGGCTCCCGAAACAGATATTCTTCGGAGAACTCTCGACAGGCAAGCCCTACCAAGGAGGTCAAAAGAAGCGTTATAAAGACTCCTTGAAAGTGGCGCTAAAGGCCTTCAGCATAAACACTACTCAATGGGTGCAGACAGCCCAGGACAGAGCCAGGTGGAGAGATTCTGTCAAGAAGGGGGCTAAATCCCATGAAGCTAATAGGATATCCACAGCTGAGACACGCAGGCTTGCCAGAAAGAGCACCATTAGGTCACCGTCTGAAGCAACTATCCCCTCCCCGCGGTGCCAAAGATTATTCCGAGCACGGATCGATCTAACAAGCCACCTACGAGCTCGCCGTAACCCAACCTCCCCTAACCTTTGGATGACCCGATGGTCCTAGTCGACTTCCACGGACAAACAACCAAAAAAAAAAAAAAATGTGGGCTATTATTTGGGCTATTATTTGGGCTATTATTTGGGTTATTATTTGGGCTATTATTTGGGCTATTATTTGGGCTATTATTTGGGCTATTATTTGGGCTATTATTTGGGCTATTATTTGGGCTATTATTTGGGCTATTATTTGGGCTATTATTTGGGCTATTATTTGGGCTATTATTTGGGATATTACTTGGGATATTATTTGTGGGTTTATTTTTGAATATTATTTGGGTTACTGTTTGCGAGTTTATTCGGAGTATTATATGGGATATTGTTTGTGAGGTCGTTTGGGATATTGTGTGTTGGGTTATTTGTGGAGACACTACAGTTCTATTGGGGGAACTTTGAGGATATGTTTTAAGAAGTTGACTTTAGACAATAGACTTAGAGAGACTAGAGATGGAAATTCCCAGTCACTCATTGGAGAAAATGTGCGATAAATTTCCACTTAAATGTGCGATACTTTTCAACTAAAATGTGCGATACATTTCCACTAAAATGTGCGATACTTTTCAACTAAAATGTGCGATACATTTCCACTAAAATGTTCGATACATTTCCACTAAAATGTGCGATACATTTCCACTAAAATGTGCGATACATTTCCACTAAAATGTGCGATACATTTCCACTAAAATGTGCGATACATTTCCACTTAAATGTGCGATACATTTCCACTAAAATGTGCGATACATTTCCACTTAAATGTGCGATACATTTCCACTTAAATGTGCGATACATTTCAATTAAATTTTGCTCAACATTTCCATCAAAATTTGCGATAAATTTCAACTAGAATGTGCGATAAATTTCCACTAAAATGCTGTATACATTTCCACAAAATTTTGCTCAACATTTCCATTAAAATGTGCGATAAATTTCCACTAAAATGTGCGATAAATTTCCACTAAAATGTGCGATAAATTTCCACTAAAATGCTGTATACATTTCCACTAAACCTCTTGCCGAAAAAAAACCCCAAAACATACAGCCTGGCATAAGAAATAGTATTACGTTAGATGCATCAAAGAGGCTGATGTCTGCATTTGTGTTATCACGCATGGACTATTGCAATGCTCTCATGTTGGGTCTCCCAGCTACGCTCCTGGATAAAATTCAAATAGCACAGAATAATGCGGCTCGCATAGTTCTTCGCACACGCAAATTCGACCATGCAAAAACCCTTCTGAGAGAGCTGCACTGTCTGCTGGTGCGTGCTCGCATAGAGTACAAAATTGCAACTTTGTGCTACCGCAGCTTACATGACCTGGCGCCATCTTATCTCAAAGCACTCATGACGCCTTATGTACCCACTAGACAGATCCGCTCATCCGATAGTGGCAAAATATCGATACCGTGTGTTCGCCTTGAGACTTACGGAAAGCGCACTTTTGCATTTGCCGGCCCAACAATTTGGAACGCACTTCCAGTCGCTCTCAGAAACAGCCAGACACTGGAGTCCTTTAAAACCGATTTAAAAAACACATCTATTTCGCAAACACCTTCTGGGGTGATGCTATCTACAATCTTTTTTCAGTTAATCTATATTGGCTTGTGTTGCTTATGGTTGAAATGGGATGAAAGACTTTGACTTGGTGTGCTCGTATGTAGTTTTATATTGTTGCGTCTGTTTTTTAAATGTGGTAAATTTCAGATTGTTTTTATTCCTCTTTTTAATGTGGTTGACTTTGTACCGCGCTTTGAGCTTTTGGGGATGAAGCGTGTTTTTCAAATAAACTTTATTATTATTATTACTTTAAATGTAAGCCAGAAATTCAAACTTGGAACAGGCCTACAACACCAACAATCGTAGCCTAAATATGTTTTTATTTATGCTAACCTTACCGCTAACCGACATTCACTATCGAACTTCGTACCAATCGCACCATAGACATTGAAGATCAATCTCAAAAGTGTGTGTGTGTGGGGGGGAAGAGAGAGAGAGAGAGAGAGAGA